AAAACATGAATACTGCCAGGCACAGTAGCTCACGCCTGTAATACCAACAATTTGGGAGGCTGAGGTGGGAGGATGGCTTGAGGCCAAGAGCTCAATATTGACCTGGGCAACATATTGAGACTCTGTCTCTACAAAATATAAAATTAAATAAATTAACTGGGCATTGTGGCACATGCCTGTAATCTCAGCTACTTGGAAGGCTGAGGTGGGAGGATCCCTTGAACCCAGGGGGCGGAGGTTGCAGTGAGCCGAGATCATGCCACTGCACTCCAGCCTGGGCAACAAAGCAACACCCTGTCTCAAAAAAAAAAAAAAATTTAAATTAAATATGATTACTGATTCAGCCTTAAAAAGGAAGAAAATTCTAATACATGCTACATGGATAAACCTTGAAGACATTATGCTAAGTGAAATAAGTCAGTAATAAAAGGACAAATATTGTATGAGTCCACTTATATGAAGCTCCTAAAGTAGTCAAATTGATAGAGACGGAAAGTAGAAAGGTAAGTGAAGGAGCTGAGGAGAAAGGGGATAGGAGAGTTACTGTTTAATGGGTATAGAATTTCACCTTGGGGAGATGAAAACATTCTGGAGTGGGATGGTGGTGATGGCTGCACAGCAAGTAATTGTACTTGACGCCACAGAAATGTACTTAAAAATGGTTACGATGGTGAATTTTGTTTATATTTTACCACAATAAAAAATATTGCTGCCGGTCGCGGTGGCTCAAGCCTGTAATCCCAGCACTTTGGGAGGCCGAGATGGGTGGATCACGAGGTCAGGAGATTGAGACCATCCTGGCTAACACAGTGAAACCCCGTCTCTACTAAAAAAATACAAAAAAACTAGCCAGGCGAGGTGGCGGGCGCCTGTAGTCCCAGCTACTCGGGAGATATCCTGACCTCGTGATCCGCCCATCTCGGCCTCCCAAAGTGCTGGGATTACAGGCTTGAGCCACCGCGCCTGGCCTATTCTTCTTCCTTTATGAGCTTGAAACCTGTTTCCCCTTCTGCCAGGGGTCCACTTTCTTTCCTTCCCACCTTCTGTTTGTCCTATGAGGAAGAACCTAGGGCTTAGTAGTCCTTCCCTCACTGGTTGAGGCTGGCTTGAGGCCCTCCTGAGTGACACTATCACCCTTGGGACACGCACCCATGGTCAACTTACAGGGCTTCATGCCAGATGCCTCAGCGGGTCAGGTAAGACACTCAAAGCTCCCCTTTCCAGAACATAGCTAAGGCCTTGAGCAGTTCATTGCCTGTGTGGCATGGGATTAGTCAATGTCTCCTCCATGAACTCATGGCTCCTGGCGGCCTTACCCTACCCTAAGGAAAGATCTCCCTGGCTCTCTCCAGCCTAGAGTTCAGGGGCCCTTGGGGCCCATAAGAGAGATCTTCCTAACACTGACTTTGTAATTGGGGTGGTGGCTACCTGCTGATGCCTCCCTAAAATGACAGATATGAAGGGTAATCCTACTGCAACAAGTAGAAAGGGCAACCACCATCAGCCCCCAGAGATTTCCAAAAAATTCTGGGAGAGAAAGCATGGCCAGGGGACAAGAGACTGACACAGCAGCCAAAACCCACAAGGAGGGGTCCATAAAGGCAAGGGAGGGCCTTGCAAAAGCATTAAACAGGCCTGAAAACTGGAACACTGATGAAATTGTGAGCTTGGCTCCACCCCATCCTAATCTGCATTGGTAGAACACTAGGCAGTCAGGCTGCTGCCCTGGGCCAATAAATAAGAGCTTTTCTCAAAGACACTAAACAAACCATGTAGAGTGACCTAGGGCAGTCAATATTATTGGCCCCAACAGTAAAGCCTTCTGCATCCTGGGTTCAGGTAAGACTCAAGATGATGTGAGCTGTCTGCACATCTCCCCCAAACCCTACCCACATAGGTTGGCCTCCAAAGTAGCCAAGGACTACCAGGTATGGGAGAGGAGCCCAGGAGAAAGTCCACGGTGCACAATTACTGACTCTGATACAAAGAGAAATATGAGACCATAAAACAAGAACATCCCCCATCTCTACTAAAAATACAAAAAATTAGCCGGGCATGGTGGCAGGTGCCTGTAGTCCCAGCTACTCAGGAGGCTGAGGCAGGAGAATGGCATAAACTCAGGAGGCAGAGCTTGCAGTGAGCCGAGATTGCGCCACTGCACTCCAGCCTGGGTGACAGAGCGAGACTCCATCTCAAAAAAAAAAAAAAAACAAAAAAACAAGAACATCATGCTTTGCAAAACAGACATACCCAAAGAGCAAGAAAGAATGCTTGCAAATTAAAAACATGAATACTGCCAGGCACAGTAGCTCACGCCTGTAATACCAACAATTTGGGAGGCTGAGGTGGTGAGGATGGCTTGAGGCCAAGAGCTCAATATGACCTGGGCAACATATTGAGACTCTGTCTCTACAAAATATAAATTAAATAATAAACTGGGCATTGTGGCACATGCCTGTAATCTCAGCTACTTGGAAGGCTGAGGTGGGAGGATCCCTTGAACCCAGGGGCGGAGGTTGCAGTGAGCCGAGATCATGCCACTGCACTCCAGCCTGGGCAACAAAGCAACACCCTGTCTCAAAAAAAAAAAAAAATTTAAATTAAATATGATTACTGATTCAGCCTTAAAAAGGAAGAAAATTCTAATACATGCTACATGGATAAACCCTTGAAGACATTATGCTAAGTGAAATAAGTCAGTAATAAAAGGACAAATATTGTATGAGTCCACTTATATGAAGCTCCTAAGTAGTCAAATTGATGTAGAGACGGAAAGTAGAAAGGTAAGTGAAGGACTGAGGAAAAGGGGATAGGAGAGTTACTGTTTAATGGGTATAGAATTTCACCTTGGGGAGATGAAAACATTCTGGAGTGGGATGGTGGTGATGGCTGCACAGCAAGTA